AATCAGCATTGTTCGGGCAATGTTCCACATTGTTAATGTTGGTATCTGCGATCGTGGCATTCTTCATATTTGCTTTTGAAGTTTTTTTGCTTATCAAAATGCTTCATACATGATATTCATTTTCTATCAAATAAAAGAATATACCTGACAATGTGAAGAGATTTCTATTGAATGAATGTGCCTATATCTAGAAAGAAAAATAAACGAGTATCAGATCACGTCTCATTGAGAAAAAACGTCTCACAAAATGACATGTGTAATAGTGAACACTATTAATATAACCAAATAATGATAAATATTTGCCGCTAAAGTTGTGTTAAATCTATCTATGCATTATATTGTCATTTGTGTACAAAGCTACATTTGAATAAAATGTTGAGATTTTTTTATATTATGTTTTTTCTATCGATATCTAATGGTTTACAATCATTTTTCTATAATACAGATCCATTTGGATTTGATTGCTTGCATTATTTTCCACCTGACTCAGAATTTTCTGAAGTCGTTAAATATTGTATTCGAAAAAAAAGAAAAGAAAGTGGAATTTTATCTCAGCCAAAAAATAATAAACGCTATATGCAAATCAAATACTTCCTCTCTCCTAATAAAATGACCTTAATTCCATCATCAGTTATTCATCATTTGCACTAATCACAAACTTCGTAATAAATTATATGATTTTTGTATTCATCCATGTATATAAAGGATTGTCATGATTGCTGAAATCATTTAATTGAAAATAAAAATGCATTCGGCTATTATTCGCGTTTTCATCATTTTAGGTATCGCTTTGGCAGTGTGCAAGATAAAGTTTTGTTTTCCATCGAATAGTTTCATATAACTAGACTGATGATGTTCTATGTCTTCAAAGACAACCTATTCATACGTGTGAATCAATGAGCTGCCCTGCAATTAGCGATACTGTCACCCTCAAGCACTATCCATGTGAACGCTTTGAAGTCGAGATACTTTTCGGTAAAAAGAAAAAATGGTTTAAGATCGAATTACCCAATGGGCAACATGGCTTTGTAACCGATCAACACTGTTCGACCAATGACAATGTTCCATGTTGTTAATGTTGCTATCTATAATCATGGCATTCTTGATATTTCCTTTTGAAGTTTTTTTCTGTTTAAAATGCTTCATACATGATATTCATTTTCTATCAAATAAAAGAATATACCTGACAATGTCGTAGAGATTTCTATTGAATGAATGTGCCATATCTAGACATATAAATAAAAAGGAGTATCAGATCACATTATTGTGTTTTGATATATCATGTCTCACAAAATGACATGTGTAATAGTGAACACTGTTAATATAACCAAATAATGATGAATATTTACTGTAAAAGTTGTGTTAAATCTATCTATATATTATATTGTCATTTGTGTGCAAAGCTACATTTGAATAATGTTCAGATTCTTTTATATTATATTTTATCTATGGATAATTAATGGTTTACAATCAATTTTCTATGATACGGATCCATTTGGATTTGATTGTTTGCATTATTTTCCACCTGACTTAGAATTTTCTGAAATGGTTAAATATTGTATTCGTCCAAATAACGAGATGAATTTGACAACAGTAACTCATTTTTTTAATATATCTGATGACAATTTTACTTTCAATGAGTTATATCATCTAAATGTTACTTCATATGATATTCTTCTATGGTCGTCATCGATTGATGTTGCTGAACAATATCAATATTATCTCGACCGACCATTTCTATCTAATTTATCGAATGAAACTTTCTTTAATTGTACACGTCCATGGTTTGGATCTCGATGTCAATATTCACTGGAAATAAATGAAGATGTATTAGTCCGAAATCCATGCGAAATGACTTCAACATATAATATATTTCAACAAACGTGTTACATTCATTTAGAATGTGATCGTGGTGGCCCATCGATTTGCCTTGATTGGCGTGAGATATGTAATGGTCGAATTGATTGTCTAAATAGTGGTATTGATGAAATTGGATGTTTTGATTTAGAAATAAATCAATGTAATGAAAATGAATATCGATGTCATTATGGATTATGTATTCCAAAAATATTTTTACAAATCGAATCTTTTCAAGCACAATGTCTTGATAGATCGGATAAGATTATTGAATATGGTTTATCAGTATCTGATTATCGATCATATATATATGAAGATCATGAATTTGTATGTCGACCTGATCAAGGACAGTTTTCATGTGGAAATGGGCAATGTGTAGAAGATTTTGGCCAATGTCAAAATAATCGACATTTAGCATTGATTCAATCAATTAGTATTCAAGAAAATTTATCATACTCATGTTGGACAGTTATGATTTGTCTTAGTAAAATCATGAATGAAATCCAAAATGTAATATGTGATCAGTTCACGCAATCTTCTGATATAACTGAAGAATTTCAAAATTGTACGTTTCCTCTTGAATTTCCTGTTAAACCTGTACTTTTTGGTCATGTACGATTTTTATATGATCCAAAAGAAATTGAAAATATTAATATAACATTAGCTCTTAAACCTGATTATATTTGTTATAATGAACAATTATGTGATTTTCTCACACCTACATTTTATCATAAAAACTTAACCTGTCGATACGGGAATCAAACAGGCCTTGACTTGAATGTCGAATTAACTACATGGAACTCTATTATCGATTCAGTCAAACCATACTTTACTGGTTGTATCACTCAACGTTATCAAAACATCAGTTCTCACTATTCATCATTATATCATTGTGCGAACTCTTCAAAATATATTTCTAAATATCGTATCGTTGATGATATACCTGATTGTTTTCTAAAAGATGATGAACAAGTATTGGAATTGAGTTGCTTATTAAATCAAACGCTTCGATTTCAATGTTCAAATGAGAAACAATGTCATTCACCTATCATTTCAAGAAAGATATGTTCTACTTCGACACAGATAAATTACAATGAGATTTTATTTTATCAAATATGTGATCGTATTCAGAATTTCCCTTTAATATTGATCAATGGACAACACCATTCAGATGAAACTGATTGTGAACATTGGCAATGTAATAATATTTATACACGATGTGATGGATTTCGAAATTGTCCGAATGGAGAGGATGAAAAGAATTGTACACAATTAATTAAATTAAATCATTTTCTTTTTTGTATTTCACCAGAAAATTATACATTTATGTGTTTACCAGCTGATCAAGTTAGGAATGAAACTGTCGATTGTCTTGGAGTATCATTCGATACAGATGAATATTTTCAAATGAGCAATATTACTATGGAAACATACAAATTTCGTTATTGGAATTATGCGAAATGTAATGAAGATGAAAATACTTGTGAAGAACATCAAAATTGTTTTATATATAATAATTATCAATTGTGTGTTAATCACTTAAAACTCTATGATTTAAATGATCTTTTCAATGTGCAAAACATTGAATGTCAAATTGTCAATACAGGTTATGTTGAATTTTCATTAGATACTGCATTAATTTATCCATCTTTACAGAATATTCAAAATTATCCTTTTAATAATCAAACTTATGACGAAAGAAAAGAATTATTCTTTCAGAATTTAACACAATCAAATATTTGTATTTATGGTTTATATGTCTATCATCGGCATGGAGTTGATAATTACGATGGTTTATGTTTCTGTCCACCAAGTTATTATGGTTCACGATGCCAATATCAAAATCAACGTGTCAGTTTGACTCTCGTATTGGCAACTGTTAAAAAGCCGATTATTTATGCTATTGTTGTTACTTTAATGGAAGATGATAATGATCAACAAGAAATTCATTCGTATCATCAATTTACTTATGAATCGGACAAATATTGTGGTAAACCTGTTAATATTTATCTATTATATTCAAATCGAGGAAAGAACAATGCAAAAAACTATAGCATTCGTATTGACGCATTTGACAAGAGCTCATTAACGTATCTATTAAGTTGGCATTTAAAAATTCCATTTATTTTTTTACCAGTTAATCGACTGAGTGCTTTTTTGACTATTCCAACATCTCGACCATTGAATTTTAATCATTGTAATCTTCAATGTCATAAAGGCACCTGTATGAAATATCATAATGAAGAACGATTCTTCTGTCGATGTAATCCAGGTTGGTCCGGTGCACAATGTCATATTCCAATCGATTGTAGTATGTGCGCATCACATTCAGTCTGTATTGGTTCGATTCAAAATCGATCAGTATGTGTATGTCCTCAAAATAAGTTTGGTTCATATTGTCGTCTTAAACTAATGTGTCCAGTAGGATTTTGCAAAAATAATGGTCGATGTGTCGTAATCGATGAGACAATGAGAGATGAAAGTTATATATGCTTATGTCCTGAACAATTTTTTGGATCAAAATGTGAATATATTCATAGTAGAATAGAGATTTACTTTAAGAATATTGAAATTCCATCATACCTACTAGTTCATATCTACAATATGATTACTTTTGATGAACCAAAACCAACATTTAGTATTCTCAAGAAAATGCTTATGTTTCAAAATCATGTAATTTTTCATACGAAACATAAATTTCAAATGGTTCTTGCTCAAATCGATAATTCTTACTATTTAGCTGCACTTCAAAAAGACGAATCATCTAACGTAACAACATCAATTAGTTCTGCACGACAATGTGTTTCTGTTGATGAAGTTTTGAATACTAAATTATTAGTATTACCACGAATTCAACGGTTGAAAAGTTATCATATCCTATGTCAACGTGATTTTAATCTACAATGTTTTGTGGATGAATTTTACATGTGTCTATGCACGAAAGAGCATCATAGTAATTGTTTTCTATTAGATCATCAATTGAGTTTTATCTGTGAAGATAATGTTTATTGTGAAAATGGTGGAACATGTTTACGAGATCGCCCTATGTGTTTTTATAGTATTCTATGTATATGTCACGATTGTTTCTTTGGTGATCGATGTCAATTTTATGCTAAAGGTATTGGATTAACATTAGATGATTTATTACGTTATGAAATTCGACCTAATAGTACATTAAATGATCAATCATTAGTAATTAAATTAAGTGCAGTGTCTGTTATGATTATATTTCTAATTGGTTTACTGAATAGTTTTTTTGGTTATATAGTTTTTCATAATCCTAATTCTCGTAAAGTTGCCTCCGGGATTTATCTTCAATTATCATCAATTATTTCCACACTTGTTGTTAGTACGTTAATCATTAAATTTTGGTTTGTAACATATACATATATGAATCCATTGATTAATCGAAAAATACTTCGAGTTGGATGTTTATTATTTGAACCAATGCTTCGTTTTTTTCTACATATGAGTAATTGGCTTAATACTTGTGTAGGTATCGATAGAGCAATGACAGTTTTTCAAGGAACTAACTTTAATAAGAAAAGAAGTCGATGTATTGCACGATGGATTGTTTGTCTTTTACCATTTCTCATTTTAAGTTCAATGATTTATGAATTTATTCATCGTGATTTGTTTGATGATTATGAAGAACGACGTGTTTGGTGTGTACTTCCTTATTCTCAATCAATTGAAACATATACGACAATTGTTCAATATTTTCATTTTGTTGCTCCGTTTTTAGCGAATTTAATTTCAGCTATTTTTATTATTGTATATATAACTCGTCTAAAAACAATTGTTCGATCTCAATTTAGTTATCAACAACAATTACTCGATCAAATTAACCACCACAAACAACTTGTTATCAGTCCTGTAATCTTAGTCATTCTATTGTTTCCTCGTTTTCTCGTTTCATTATTATCAACATGTGTTAAATCGTCTCGAAATCCATGGTTGTATCTTTGTGGTTATTTTGTTTCATTCATTCCATCATCTTTTATCTTTATAATATTTGTTTTACCATCGACTTTCTACAGGAAAGAATTCATAAAAACAATTACCAGTTGGAGACAACGATTTATGAGACTGTTGAGACAGTGATACTCTTGAAACATTAACTAATTTTAAATAAATATTGTTCAGCTGCTTTTAGATAGTTATATAATTATCGATTCCTTCTATAACCTCGATAAAAAGTGAAAATATCGAAAACTACGATGGTTATATCTAAATATTATTCTGTAGGGAGAATTAAAAAAAACAAGCAGCGCAATTCCAGTGAAATATCTGTATTATTTAAAAAGAAAAATTTGAAAATCGGATATTCCCGCACCCACACCCTCAAGAGGTTTTTAGACATAGATTGTGTGTATAAATACTTGAATGAACTCAAGTATGTTTTTCTCTATATTCCCTAGACTGTAAAGAAAAGGTCTAGAAACGGGACTTGATCTATTTATATGTATTCTTTTTGTTGGTAACATGGCATATTTGTTCATTTTTTTGACACAAATGATCACATAAATAAGCCATACTTTCGATAATATAACTTTTATTGGAATAGCACAATATTTAATTTATTTATGAAAAAAGGCGCGAGCTTAAATATTTGCTAACCATATATAGATCATTATTTTATTGAATAAATTAAAATAATGAGGACGATGAAAATAATATTAATAACAAAAAAACGGAACATACGTATACACAGAATATTATAATACTTTGGAAAAATAATGTTCATCTAGTTTTATATAAAATGACGTTCATTATCATCATCAGTAAATATTTTTAATGCATACATGAGAAGAACGACGGTGTATCCAAACACCTTGTATCACAAACCAGAAAAGCAAAGCCCAGGATTAGAACCTTCAAAAATTATGCATTGTAATTTGATCATTTTACTAGTTGTATTATTGTAAAATATTTTGAATAAACTTGTCAGTTTGGTTCACTTGTTATAGTGCATATAGAAAAAATAGTTCAACTTCAATTTGATTTCCTGCTGAAAGAACTAAGATTGATCAACTCTTGTTTACATCTAAATATAATTATATTCGCATGCAGATCGCGACAGTCTAGGGCCAAGTGAATCGAATTTCGATGAACGTTATTTGTTTGAATAGACTGAATACATTCTTGTGTTTTATATTAATTATGAAGATTGTGTGTATTCAAGAATATGTTAGGTCACATTTCATTTTCTGAGTAACATCACAGATCTGTTTTTGAACTATATGATAATATATATAAATTATTTATTATCATGAATAGTTATTATTAAACTAGACAAGACATTTCCATTGTTACTGAAAATAAATGCAAGTATTTCAAACTTTTCTTATTAATTTATTATTCGGCGCTTTTGAAGGATATTTTCTATTTACGTTTTTCATGATATTTACGCTATTCCAACATCATTCTTGTATATAATAAAGCGTCTTTTTAAATATGGAAATCATTTTCAAAATTTTTATCGAATAGAATGCCGCCACCACCAACTACAAATTCAAGCATTACTGCAATAGAATTAAGTAAACCTGATATAGCTGTTAGTTATATAGGTCGTTTTTGGCTTTTTCTTATATCAACTCCTTTATCAATTGTGTGTTCTTTGTTTCTTCTTTTTCATCTTCTATCTCATAGAACTCTTCGGTGTGCATTATATAATTATGTAATAATAGTTCTCATATTCATGTGTCTTATATGGGCAATGACTGTTGCTCCTGCCACGATGCATGTTTATTTATTCAATATAGTTTGGTCGCAAACTCCAACATTTTGTATGATTTGGAAGTTTCTTGATTCATGTATTTATTCATCAATAGCCAAATTGGTAGCATGGACTTCAATTGAACGACATATTATTATATTTCATAACAAATGGGTATCAACAAAAATAAAACGTCTTTTATTCCATTATATTCCATTATTACTAATTGTTATCTGTGATATAATTTGTTATGCAATAATAACTCCAATGAATAATTGCAATAGAAAATTCTCTTATACAAAACCATTGTGTGATTATTCTAGTTGTATGTATAATAGTGTATCATTTATGCATTTTGAATCTTTTACTGGTGCAGTTATACCATCTT